AACAGTCAGCAGCCATAGTGCATTCAACCTCAGGCGCACTTACGCTGCGTATCCAGTAACGACAGCCGTACCCCTCAGCAGTCATTTCGTAATTGTGTCGGCCCCTTTGTGTAAATTACGTTTGCAATATCACCACTTGAATGAATTTTTCGACGTGTGGAAATCCCAATGCGCGATGGCAGAGGTTGGCTTCACGTATGGGTGGCTATGACCACAGCAATTTCCTGGTTTTGTCTGGGGAGTCGGAGGTCATACTTGCGCAGACCAATTCCGGCGCGTCGCTCCGCAGAGTCAGATAGATTCTAGCTCACTGCTCAAATCTCAGATGATGTAATCTGAAGATTTGTTTCACTAAACACATTCATTATGAAATATACACTCTTAACAATATATGAGTGTGTTTCTAGTTGATGCAGTGGGTTTAAAGGCTTTCATCTGATGTTCACTTACTATAAGAAAGCCCATTTCACAGTTTCCGTGTTACAATTTATGAATTTCTAGTGTGAATGGCAGCATTTCTCTTATAAGTTGTGAGATGAAGATTAAAAACTTGTCTTGAAAAGAGTGTGGGAAGGATTAGCAACAAGTTATGAATACCAGGAAAGGATGACAGAAGTACAGAAAGCTCAAACCGAAAAGAAGAAAATGAAATTGAAATAAAAAAACAACAGACAACAAGTGGGCTATCTAAATAAAAGAAAAACAACAGGGAATGTTCTAGGATAGGAACAAGGGCAAACAATGGCAGGCTTGGACAGGGAAAAAAAAAAAAATAAAAAAAATAAGAAGAAACACAACGTAAAAAATATAACACAACCCAATCAAAGATGTAACGAAATAGAACCTATACATAAAATCTCTAAACAGCTACCTACGTATCAATCAACAAAGCAGAGCAAAAAACCAGAAATCATCCCTTCCCGCACGCCTACCTACTATCCTCTACTGAACCTGACTGACAATCTCACTAGCCCTTGTCAAACTTTCCACCATTTGCTGACACTCCTTTCTCCGGCGGATGGTGTACTCGCTTTCACGGAGGAGATCATCCAGCTCATCGGCCCGGTACATCTGGGCGAGGAGTTCGCGTTGCATTTCATCTTTGGTATGTCTAGAAAAGCGGGTGAGTATATATATAAGGAGGAGAAAATGGATAGGAAAAATCGAGAAACGAGAAATCAAAGCTTAGTGGGGGAGTTGTCGAGGGAAAGAATGAAAGAAAGAAAGAAGAAGAAGAAAACGTACTGAACGAGGTTAAGCATGACGGCCTTGGGTACCATGTCGATCATAGTTCTCTTGACGATATTATAATAGGAGCTTATTAGGAGTTCTGGCGGTGTCGACGGTTAGTATACCTACAATACGTACATACAATCATGGGATATATTTAATTTGCTTGGATTAGGAGGAGGGAAGGAAAACATACTAATAACCTCAACCTCAGAATTCTCGCGCTCAGACAATGTCCCCGAGGCCTTGAGTGTAGGTGGGGGCGGCTCCATTGCAGCCATCTTCTTCTTATTTTTTGATGCGAAAAAGCTGCCGAAGAAGCCGCTGTTGGTGTCCGACATGGAGTCCAGAGATGGGCTTGCCGCTCGTGGTGGCACTGCGGATGCAGGCAGAGGTTTTCCAGTCTTGGGGTCAACCTGTGTTGGTCTACTGGCGGCGTTTCGTTCGTTGACAATTGCCATTGCCTAATGTGAAAGGATAGTAAGCATAAGAGAAGACAGGGTAAGGAAGGTGGAGAAAAAGAGATATATGTTATTTACCCTATGCCCATTTAAGAAATCCGGGTGGCCTGTATTGATATAACACGACTCCATCGCCACAAGATCCTTAACTAGCTTATTCGTGGGGTCCATCGCCTGCTTGAAGAACGAAATGACAACGCTATGGAATTTCTCTTTCAGTTGTGGGTATCTCCGGAACGGTTGCTTGTTGAGGAGCTGGCTCAGGATCCGCACTAGCTCGTCGTAGACTAGAGAGACGCATTTTAGACTGGGATCTTCGAGCCGCTTGATTTGCTGCTTCACAATAAGCTCAAAAGCGGTTGTCCCGACGAAGAGCGCTGGCGAGGAACCTGACGAGTTGTATAGGATTGTCCGAATATCGATATCCTTGACTTGGTCAAATGGATCGACTGCCTTGACACCGTTGGAATAGAGTTCATGGAAAACAAAGCTAATACGCGCACCGCCGGAGAGTTCAACGCTAGATAGTTCCTGGTTGTTACCATCTAGCACTGTCCGATATTCATTGCTGAACTCTGTGATTATGTTAAGCACTATGTTTGAGCTGTTTCCGAGCATGGAGTCGCCAAGCTGATGGAGTTCTGCAGTGTATTTCTGGAGAGAGGCTGCGATACGGGCTTTGATATCGGGAAGGGTTTGTTTAATGTGCATCATGAGGATCTAGAACAACTGATTGTTAGCTTATATAGAGACGGGGGGTATATAATCATTCTTTCAATCCGAGCATACCAAATTCAACTTCCTTGCCAGATATGGTGTTCCACAGTAAGTCGACTTATTCCGATAAGCCTTGTGGTTCTCAAAGAAATTCTTCTCGTGCTCCAACGCATAGGAAATAGGTCTTTTATTCTCAATATCCCGTTGTCCACGATTGACGACGGGCACATAGCCAAGGCGCAATGGAATAATTCTGCCAGCAAGAATATCTACTACATCCGTGCCCGCATCCATAAGGTCTACTTTTGTAAGCACACCAATGGTACGTTGTCCCTCCGGGTCGACCTCTCGGGCAAGTTTGAGGCCGTCGGAGTTCGCAAGATCTTGGTTCGCTGCGGTGACGGCGAGGATGATAGCATTTGGCTTGCTGATCTGCTTCAACACCATATCTCTTATTTGCTTCTCGATATCCTTGGGTTGATCTCCGACGGGGACTTTGGTTAAACCCGGCAGGTCGACGAGAGTAAGTGTCAGGACATTAGGGGAGTATATTCTCAGGTTAATCGGAGCTGGCGAAATGCCCGCATTGCGTCCAGTCTTCTGTTCCGTCTCGCGTACAATCTCATCTCTGATCTTGTTGAAATCGTAAAATTTCTGGCCAGGGATATGTAGGAATTCGCCATACTCGTCCACGTTGGCCTCCTTATCGGTGGTATCGAGCTTGTCATCCTTAACACCATTCGTCTGTGCTTTCGAGGCTGGTCTGTTGATAAGTTGCAGAACAAGTGGCCGTCGAGTGACAATTCCAGAACCTCTAGGGAGACTAATTTTCACCAAGGAAAAAGAGGAAGACGAAGTTGGTCTCCTGTCAGTTTGGGCTTCTCCGGGTGCAATACCATTGGAAATGGTGCCACTCACAAATCTCTTCCAACGATATTCTCCAATACGGAACTTTTTCCACTCGACTGCGAACCAACAACCACTATTTGTGGTAGATCAATGGGATTTTGTACCTAAATGGGAGCAGTATCAGTATCGGTATCAGTATCCCATGTGTCGCCCCAAGAGGTGCGCAGTTAGAGCAAGATAACATACTCCAACGGTCGTGAAGACATCCTGCAGCTTATTTACCAGCGAAATAAGACTGGGGTCATTGACGTTTATGCTATTTGGTGGTGGAACAAAAACACCCGTTCAATGTTAGCGATCTATGTACGGGCCAGCAAGGCGCCGACAATAAGAGAGTAGGGAACAATCAATATGGGGGAACCCACGAGTAACCAGACGGGGTCGCTGACATGTCGAGTGAAAGGCGCATCCAAGATAGCTCAGTGCTAGGGGATGTATGGGAATAGTAGGGCGGAAGACAGCTATCGTACGGAGGGAATGCTTTGTTTCTGTGTGGAGCTGTTTGGGCATGAAGATGGAGAAATGGATGATGAACTCGCATGATGATATCCTTCTACTAGCGGATGACTAAGCATATAACTATATATTCGCGCACTTTTTTTTTTTTCTTTTTTATTAACCACCACCAAAACAACAATTAGGCATCTGCCTTCTTTCAACGACAACGATAAGATCACAGCCTGCAACATCATTGTTATTCTGGACAGCCCATGAATTCTGGTGCCAATCTCCCAACCTTTTGTCTTACCATGTGTGGCTCAGCGCTCTCTTTGAAAAGGGGATTGCTGGATACCACGCGTACTATATGGATAAAGTGTTGGAAGAAGAGTTACAGGAAAGAAAATTCGCTGTCCATCAGGACATCGGAGTAAACCGAAAGATGCATGCACGGAATATTCCTCGATGGTTGCTGGAGCGGAAATATCCTTTGTAGAAGAGGCGGCCACAAAATGCCCGCTTGCCCACTTGCCCCATACTGACCTTGAGAAAGGGGTCCTGTTTTCTTTAATTCTGTTTTGAGAGGTCGTTTTTTGCAAAATTCTCGGCTTCTGCAAAAGTGTATGGGGAATGCAAGCGTGATACATACTCTAGATTCTGTTGGATTGCTGACATCCCAAGCTATGTATTGCGCCGGTGACAGGCAACCATTTGAATGAACCTCTATTTTTGAACTGAAATGAAGGCTTTCACCCAGGAAATGGACCGAAAGCACGGAATACTCTGTTTCTTTCGTCAGACTGTTCCCAAAAGTATTAATACAAGCAGTTATACAAAACCGCCGGCGAGCCCACGTCGGAAACCCCATCCATCCCTCCTTACATGAAGGAACAAAGCTTAAGAAATTAACAAAAAAATTTAAAGAAAAAAATTGGAAGCCGTATACCTCATCAACAAACACTTTTCCATCTATTAGATCATCCAGCACAATCAATCAAATAAAGGAACAGACAAAAGCTGGAGACTACGTAAATGCATAGCAGCCTGAGGAGGGTATCGCCGTGGGCACTCCCCCTTTGGAAGCCCTTCATACCAGCGAAAACACAAATATAAAGAACTTAAATAAATGAGGGACACGCGCGTGCAACTCTTACAAAAAGACAAGCCAAAAGGGAAATAATGTAAAGGAGGGAAGGAAGCTATGGTTGTAAACAGTCATAAAACATTTAAAACCACCGAATATCTCTACACATCAGATACCGACGCGAACTTCTCAGACATGTCCTGCAGGATTTTTTCGTACTGTAATTTTCAAGAAACGTTAGATATGTGCAATAATGTAATATCGGGGGGTAAGAGTGGGGGAAAAAGCCACGGTCCAACCATACCTTTTGGGTGACAGCCTCTTCATCCTCAGGCAACTCAAACTTCATCCCCCGCAACGCATTCTGGATCTCCACCGTCGCCTCGCGAACCTTGGCCCAGCTCTGACCCTGTGCAATGGCTTTCTGACTCTCATCATGATATCCCATGAACGCCTTCATCATATACTCGGTCTTCCACAGCGGGCAGAACTGGTCGTAATCGCTGTAGCCGTTCTGTTGTAAGAAGTCATCCTTGAGCAGCGCGGCGACGTCCAGCGTGATCTTGTCTGGGTCGCCGAGTGCGGATTTACCAACGAGCTGCACGACCTGGTCCAGGTCTTCGGAGTTGGTGAGTAGTTCTTTGATTCTGTCTCGGAGCCGTGGGAATTCCGGATGGTCCTTCGCGTAGAATTTATCGAGCACGTTGGTGTACTTGCTGTATGAAACGGAAGTGTTGATGGATGGGAAGTGCTTTCGCTGCGCGAGCTTCTTATCAAGACCCCAGAAGACTTGGACGATGCCAAGGGTGCTGGAGGTGACCGGGTCGGAGAAATCACCACCAGGGGGACTGACAGCGCCGACAATACTGACACTTCCTTTCCGCTCGGGGCTACCAAGCGCGATACTCAGTCCGGCACGTTCGTAGAATGAGGCAAGCTTGGCTCCAAGGTAAGCAGGGAAGCCTTGGTCAGCCGGCATCTCACCCAATCGTCCTGAGATTTCACGGAGCGCCTCAGCCCAGCGCGAGCTGGAGTCTGCCATCATGGCGACGTTTTTACCCTGGTCACGGAAATATTCTGCAACCGTAATGCCGGTGTAGATGGAAGCCTCGCGGGCAGCGACAGGCATATTGGAGGTGTTCGCAATCAGACACGTGCGTTTCATGATGGGCTCTTTACGGCCGTCGATGTTTATTGAAAGCTGGGCTGCCAGTTAGTTCTGAGCCCAAAAATGGGTATGTGGGTAAGTAACCTACCTCTGGGAAATCCATCAAGACTTCAGCCATCTCATTTCCACGTTCACCGCAACCAACATACACAATGATGTCACTGTTCGAGAATTTGGAGACACTCTGACTGATAACAGTCTTCCCGCAGCCAAACGCACCGGGGATACACACCGTTCCACCTTGAACACTAGGGAAAAGGGCATCGAGGACGCGCTGGCCAACAATGAAGGGGGTATCGGAAGCCAGCTTCTCGTTTACCGGACGGGGAACACGGACTGGCCACTCATGGGCCATGCCAAACTCCTGCTTCTTGCCATCAAACTCAACCTCCAGGAGCTTCTCGTCAACGGTATAGCTGCCCGGGCCGGCAATGCGGGTGATGGTCCCTCGTGCGCGAGGGGGTAGCAGGATCTTATGGTCGTTCAGCAAGCTATTCTCCCACACGCTACCCCAGATATCGCCGCCGGTAATGTGGTCCCCGACTTTGAAGTTGGTTGGTTTGAAGTCCCATTTCTTCTTCCGGTCGAGGGCTGGGATGGAGATGCCGCGGGGGATGTAGATACTTTGGGAGGCGTCTGAAATGGCTTTGAGAGGTCGTTGGATGCCGTCATAGATCGTCTCCATCAATCCCGGGCCGAGTTCTACGGACAATGGTTTCCCTGTTCTGACGACTGGATCGCCGACGGTTACTCCGGCTGGAATGTTGGAGGAAACGAGTTAGTTTTGAGTCTGAGAGGTGGAGTTTGGTGGGGAGTTTCGGTGCCATCATTCACCTGTTTCCTCGTAGACTTGAATTGTAGCTTTATCTGCGTCGATTCGAATGACTTCTCCAACGAGCTGGTCATAGCCCACCCGACACTAGCATATTTATACTGAGGTTAGAAAATAACTCTAGGCGGTATATTTTCTTTGGACAATGCACATGTATAGTTGGTACTCACCAGTTCGTACATGGCGCACCCGATCATGTTCTCCGCAACCACGACAGGCCCGGAGACGGAGTAAATAGAACCATGGTGTCCTTCGTCGGCACCAGGCCGCGGGTTCTTCGAGTCCTTTGGCGGCATTGTGGGAGGTGCGAGGCGCGGAGTAGGGGAGTTGGGAGGGGAGCGGGGAGCTGCAGTTCCGTTGGAGTGGTGGTGGTGGTTGTGGTGGTGTATGCGGTGTTGGGTGGAGCTTGGAAGACTAATGTTGGCGCGGAGCACGGGTGGATCTTCTGGCAGCCCACCAGCAACAGGCGTGAAGCGACGGTGTGCTTGGTCTTTGGCAACAATGAGCTCTATGAGGGAAGGCCGTGATTTCAGGGATGGTCTACCCAGGCCCAGCATATGATCCAGGGATTTTTATTCCCGTGGTGTGTGTGTATGGAGGAGTTACTTATCTATGTGGTCTGATGACGTTGGGGTGGTTACTGATGATGATACATGCAGCATAGCCTAACATTGTTCCGCCAGGGTTATTTATTTGTATACTATGAGCAGCTTTTTCAGTCCCCCGCTTTCCCTTTCGATATCAAAATCTAAGTGAAAGGGCTGACATATCCATAATTTACAGAATCTTTAAAATGATTCAAATATTCATTGCAATGTTTTTCAATCTCGGAACTGAAACAAACAGGTAAGTTCTTATTTGGGACTAGCGTATTTAGTCAGCAAGCCTCAAAGCCCTTGGCTCTAACTACTCTGCATCTTACATGGTTCACCTACATCTGTACTTGTCTCGTCTCGTCCCTTATAAACTGCTTCAGAAAAGGCAGGAAGAGCTATCATGAGAAGATGAAAGGATTCTTAATGTGAGGATTCTTGTTACAAAAATTTTCTTCCTGCACTGCCTGCACATGTCCATCATGCATCCTGGAAGTTGTATTGACTGAGCATAGCATCAACGCCACAGACCTTGCAGGTGAACACCACTCTGACAATCAAACAATTGAAGGTCCCCACTTCACCAATGGGACTTTTAACACATGCTGCACAGCTGGGTTTCGCGGGTTTGGTTGATTTACAATCCCGGGTAACTGCCTGTTTCGTACTCAAATGACTCAGGAGGAGATTGCTCTTCAACCCAGTCAGCCTGGGAAAACCCTTCTGCGAGCTTAACCTGGCTTGAAATGGTCTTATTCGAAGAATGGCTGAGGCGAAAACGGAACAGGAGAGAATGAATCTTGAAGCTGGAAGTGGTCAAACTCGCACTTCGAATTTGCAAACTCAGGGGCTAGTCCACTGCCTGTTGTTAACGAATGCGGACAGCCCAAATGAATGTTTGGGTAGGTTGATTGAAGCCAAATGCCACCAACGACGAGCTCATGACGAGCTCACGACGAAAACTGGTGGGAGATAACTACCGTGGGACGGTTAATGTATTCATTGTTTATTCTCGTGATATTCAATCTTCATTCACCCCCGGATTATCATCCAACAGGATATGCTGACAGGCAATTTACAGCCAGAGGTGAATCTAGTACATGAAAAATTATATGCTGCTGAAGGTGAGATGGGTGAGAGGGATTCAATGTTCTGAATCTGGTAGTCTATGCGGTGTTACATAGTTATATTTAAGCCGCCTCGATGATGGGTTTCGGGTAACGGAAGAGTTCCTTTTGAGACCATTACTTTAAGTTGAAGGGAAAGTTCCACATATATTACTATATTATTATATTCGTAGATAGCTGGCAGTTTATACACAACTGAAGCGTGCAAAGCAACCCCCTCTAAGTGAGATATCGTCACTGTCCCCGCGCCGCCGATATCTGCAAAGGGTTCTAGCGCCTAACAGATACAGAAACACAGAGGCCAGGCCCTAACTAATTCCCTAAGACTCTCCCCTGACCACATGATAAGGGCAAGATACGCTAGGTTTTTAGCCAGGTTTAACTAACTAGCCATTCAACAGGGAGCTAGGGACTTTTATCACCAGGTGCCGCCACATCAAACGAGAAACACTACGGAGTACTGGGCAGGTATATGCCACATTATCTTCTCGTTTTGGGCTTACCTGCAGGTCTTACAGTTATCTAAAGCATGAATTTGGTCCTTGATCTCACTGCGTTGAGTCTTTTAGTTCTACAACGAGGGACAGGTAACTACTATGCGTAAGTATGCGTGTTAACCTACCAACTCACCTGAGGCCAGGCTGTGGAGCTACCCTCGGAAAGTGCCACGCCGTGTCAAGCTTCCCTGCCCTACTGCTAGTCCCGCGTGAACAACAAGTCTTTGGCTGTCAAGGGACGGACCGAGTGACACGATAAGAGGGGAGGAGTAGGAGAGCGGAGTCGTTGGGGTGCTGGGCTGAGGGGAGGATGACGATTAGAAGTATCGCCCCTTGAGCCATTGCAGAGAATGACTCCCAATGTCCTTGCCCCATCAGTTTGTTTCGAAGTTGCCTAGACTTGAAACAAGTCACAAATCCCTGGGGCATGTATGGTATGCTGGGGTACAAAAGTTACAAATACTCTCAGAACTATAAATTAAATTGACCATGCCTTATTTCTTTCCATGCTCAGAATATATGGACAGGATCCTCAAGCTTGGGTGGGTGGTAAGAGACATATCCTGTGACTGGTATCTGCCGTGGGGACGGGATATGGTAAAACCAAATAGAGGTAACTGTGAAAGGAAACAACAGAGCTTTAATACTCTATACAGCAAATATCTTTTTTTTTTAACTTTATCTCTAATGTTATTGATTTTATATTGTCGGAAGTATCACGCAGAGAATAAGAGAAATGTAAAAAATGACATACAGTTGTACGTATGTACGGTACGATTGAACGATGCGAGGGTGTAATGTAATATTACGTCACTGACAGGCCCTACTGCATAGCAATAATACCTCCACTCCTTGTACTTCCGTAATTTGCTGTTTGTAGTCAGTCTGTCTGATATGATATTGTGATCTGGCAGTGTTAAACTCTGCTGCAGACATTGCAGTACATGAAACATACATGCTCCGAATACAGGAAATACACAAAACCTATAAAGCATACCTAGGTACAGTTATGGTACCGTACAGTTACATCCTCATCATGTGCTTACAGTCAAACGACATCCAGCTATTAATAATAATTATCCCAGCTTCATCTACTTCGTCTCTGCATCTTCATTCTGCAAGCCTGTAACTGTTACTACTCTCGAGCAGAGACTCCTGCTCTGGTTCTTATGAGTGGCTGTTGTCCAGCTGTTTCTGACGGGACCTCCAGTCTAGGCTGATCCCACCAGTTAGCAACCTACTTCTTGTCGCTCTTGCATGACTTTGTTCCTCGCTTTCCAGATATCGGCAAAAACACATCCCACGACGACAACGACAGCACAGCAATATTCCAGCTGGTCTTGCCAACCTCCTACACAGCCATCCATCGACTAAAATTCCACTTCCACCCCCCAACGTGCTCAAGATTGCAAATCAGTTGTTGTTCCTGGGGTTCCTTCACGGTTCTTCCGAGTCGCTGGTACGCCTATTACCTCATCCTACTTCTCTCTGGTCATTTATCGTTCTTCTCAACTTCAACCGTCTAACCGCCCGCTGCACCTTTGCAGACGTAAGACAGAGCTCATACCAGAACAACCCAAGGCAAACCAATCAACATACTGTTTCACTGGGTACAACAAATTTAGCATCACCACAAAATCTATAGGTTGAGAAAAGCTTGTGGCGTTTAGCCAGCTCCAGAGCTTCAAATCTGGTTGCAAAGCGCTTTACGCTTCCTTTCACCATATAGGCCTATTCAGCTGGTTCTGTATAGAGCCAGACTGAAGGGGCTAAATAACAAACTTCGATCTGGCAGACGAATCTCCTTCACATACTCCCGCCTCAGCCTCCCCCGGCCCCTCGAACCTTACTACAAACCTCGAATCCGTACCTACCACCGCTACTACTACGACTACTAGTTCTACTCCTACTGGTTCCGTCACAAACCATTCCTCGACCCCATCTAACGCCCAGATCACTCACGAGAATATTTCCCTATCCCTTCAAAGCAACGAACTGCCCCCAAGGCTTCCAGGCTTAGGTTTACATACCGACCGTAGTGACACTATTGGGCTTGGATCGCGCCTAATCAACCGCCGCCGTCGTCGGGAACGAACTCCTCCTGATCAATCTGATCAATCTGAGAGGGCCGGGTCGAGGTCTGGAAATCCTGCTACGCCCAGACAGTTGCTTGAAGAGCAAGGTAGGGTTCGCAACAGAGACGACATTCCTCCTTCTCCCAAGCGCAGGCGCCTGGCTGGTAGCAACATGCGTCCCGACGGCGGAGCTTCAACTTCAAACACAAACGGGTTCTCCCCCATATCGAATGGCTCGACCTCTTCTCCACTACGAAAAGCCCCTGTTTCCAACTCGGTTAACGGCAGATCTTCGCATTCCAGTCCTAACGGCCAGCCCCAGGCAAACGGTTCTGGCAAGTCGCCGGCTTCCATCTCACCTACATACTTTGGCCATGATCGGGAGGAGGTGACGAGGATTCTGATTCAGAGTTTGCATGATCTGGGATATAACGAGGCTGCGTCTACATTAAGCCGGGAATCCGGATATGAGCTCGAGAGCCCCGCTGTAGCTTCGTTCCGGTCAGCAGTACTTGATGGGCGGTGGGCGGATGCAGAGGATATTTTGCTGGGTTCATATTATCCGGATAGAGGGGGAAATGGGACAGATGCAGGTGGAGGAAATACCATTGACCGTGGGACCGACACCGATCTTGGCACTCTCGTTTTAGCAGAAGGGGCGGATAGAAATGAGATGCTCTTCTGTCTCAGACAGCAGAAATTCCTTGAATTATTAGAGCAACGGGATCTTGCAACGGCGTTGATGGTACTCCGGCAGGAACTGACACCGTTAAACCATGATATCGCACAGCTACATGCCCTTTCCAGGTAAGTGACACTTTGAAATAAACTAATTAGTGGATGTTATTTATCTAACTTCTATACTAGTCTATTGATGTGCCCTGCAGAAAATTTGCGAGCGCAAGCGGGTTGGGATGGTTCAGTACTACAATCACGACAGAGGCTATTGGGAGAGCTATCAAGTGAGTTTCTTCAGAGTAACGTTAATAAAAAATTTCTACCCTAATAATTGTCTTAATTCTAGGATCTATATCTCCAGCTGTTATGATTCCCGATCACAGATTAGCAGTTTTACTGGACTACGTTAAACAGAATCAGATCAACCAATGTCTATATCACAACACGGCTGAATCCCCCTCGCTTTATTCAGATCACCAGTGCGATCGATCCCAATTCCCTCTACGAACATCCCTCGAACTCAGTGAACATACGGACGAGGTCTGGTACCTTGAATTTTCTCGTGATGGTACCAAACTAGCAACAACAGGCCGTGAAAACATCGTGATTATATACGATGTTCCCACTTTCAGCGTCATCCATAGACTAACTGATCATGGTGGCCCCGTTGCATATGCAACATGGAGTCCTGATGATTCTAAGCTCATTAGCTGCTCTCAAGATTACAAAGCTCGGCTATGGGATGTGGAAGTATGCTTAGCCCCTCTCTACTTTCAGACAGGGTCATTGGCACTAACTGTATAAACTCCAGACTGGACGGTGTATCCTCACCATCGATCACCATAATGAACCAGTAACCTCTGCCGCATGGGCTCCAAATGGTGACTCATTTGTCACTGGCTCTCTCGATCGCCAATCCCAACTCTGCCATTGGAGTGTGGCTGGCGAATCCCTTTACAAGTGGTCCGGCCAATATAGAGTTCGAGACTGTTCCATATCTCCCGACGGCCGTCGACTCATCGCCATATCCACGGAGAAAAAGATTTACGTCTATAACTTCGAAACTCGTGCCGAGGAATATAGCATGTCTATCAAGCTTGACCTCACCTGCATCAATATCAGCCGAGATTCTAGATACATGTTGCTAAATACGTCCGAATGTGAAATGCAGTTGTTAGACATCGAAACAAGGGAAGTTGCTCGGCAGTATGTAGGACAGAAGCAGCAAGGAAATGATGAATATATTATTAGAAATAGTTTTGGTGGCGCCGCGGAGAATTTTGTCGTGAGTGGTAGTGAAGGTACGGCTGAAAATCTTTTTGTTCATGGCCCCGAATTGTTTTCCGCGATACTGAAACCATCACATCGTATAGATTCCAAGATCCACATCTGGCACAAGGAGAATTGCACACTGGTTGCAACGCTTCAGGGCCACGGCGTAGGCTGCGTCAACGCCGTATCATGGAATCCAAAGGACCCGGGAATGTTCGCATCGGCAGGGGATGACCGAAAAGTTCGAATGTGAGTTCTATATCAAAAACACACCCTATGTGGATGAAAACACTGCTGACCCACGCCGTTCTACTACTAGATGGACACGAGATCCGCCAACCCGCACACCCGTTTCTGGGAAATCACGGATGCCGCCATCGAACAGTTCGGCACGGACAAGCGCGCTACGGTCTACATTCAATCGATCTCCGAACTTTTGAGCTAGTTGGTTAAATCGTGATGCACTTTTGCAAACCCGTCCTAAATGTCCGGGATAAAGTAGTGGTTCCGGCTCTCATGAATCCAGCCTAATTTCAACATCATCCGTACATACATGACCACACCATCCCATTTCCATGATGCTAGAATACACCCGTCCACCCCACCCGCCTTTTGCATGGCGAACTCAATATGGCAATTCCCCTCAAACTCATCGACATCTATATATTGGCCCCCTACCTAGTTTTGTATGAATTGCAATTATTTACTTATCCTTTTCTCTATCCACCCTACATCTACCATGCATGGCGTACAGAATTCCCACAACTGGGTCCAAAAACATACAAACATAAAAAAGTCGAGTCTATTTTGAAGATGAAATCCTGTCCAAGCGCACGCCTGCATACAGATACACAGACACACTTGATCCACAGCTCATCACCCACCCCTCACAGATCACCAGAAACATATACACAGCATTCAGTAGGAGGTTATCTACATATATAAGAAATTCCTTTTGCCTTCCCTCTGCTTTTGTTAACAAATTCTAAATCTGATAGTTATACTCATTCTTACTCTTCATTTCATTTTCTATTTCTTCTCATACCATTTCCATGTTCACCCCTGTTCCATCCTGATTCCATCCCTTTCTTTATATCTCTCATCATTTTTCCAAACTCCTGATGACTTTATTTATTCATATTTCCACGACCCCAGATTTCGACATACCACCCTTTTTCTTTCCCCATTCTCATTCACTAGTTTGGCATTCATGGACGCAGATTTTGACGTTGGCCTTTTATCTTTTGACTTGGTGGCATTTATATCTTGTCAGGCAAAGGTTGAGTTTCTGTTGCATCACTGGTGCATGATTAAGGTGGGAGTGGGAACAGGAGCAGGATGTGACTTTTTTCCTATATTTTACTAATAATTGGTTAGTTGGATTTTTCATCTTTTGTTTCTCTGATTCCCTGGCTTCCCTGGCTCCCGGTTTACTATTTTGTTTTTGTTTTTGTGCCCCCCCCCCTCTCTCTCCTTCTTAATAATTTGCACCCGTCGATTCTCCTGCATTTTTGTCACGTATGTATGTACGTTTGGTCAGCTCCATCCTACATTTCGCAAACCCGCCTCTGCTTCCATTTTCATATCTTTTTATATTTATTGTTCGTTGGCACGTTCTGAACTCTCTACCTCCATCGCTTTACTATTTATTCCATACCCCTCCCATCACTTCGTTCTCCCTACCCGTGTGGGCTCTGATTTTATTTGCTTCACTGGAGTTGACAGGAGGGTTTGGTTGGAACTTGGAAGTTGGGAGCTGGAAGTAACTATGGGACTGGCTGAATTTAATAATCGCGGGTTATGAATTTTTTTTAAGGCCAGCGGTGATTTAACATGTAGGGAGCCGTACAGGAGTGTGATGTAGGATGATATGTGATTTTTTTATTTAAGATAGATTAATTATATATTATTAAATATCGGATACTTATGTTGCTGGATGAGTATTTATGGGGGGGAATGATGGGTTATATATTACTGCTATGCATGTTCTCATCATTGCAATGTGTAGTTATGTGGGAAGAATCGCAGTTATATCAAACACCTGAATTTTTCCGACCTTAGGCTCCTGTTTCGTTGGTTATCATATAGTAGTAGTTGCTACTTGCTAATGAATTTAGAGCTGGGCGTTTCCATTTCCTTCTTGCTGGTAGTCAGAGATTGAGGAACCACTCACTCACTCGCTACCTTATCTACGAGATCAGTCAATTTATGCAATAGTCATGACGGAAGCAGCTGACTACACCATTTGGTGTCTGCTCCACCCTCCAAGCTGACGTTACATAAGATGTAGGGACCATGTCAATCAAGGTTTCGAATGATGAAACCAGAAAAACTCATCTCACTGATTATTCGACGCAGAAGTGGTTCTTGGCAAACTACAGGATTTACCTGTGTGTAGGGGAGCATGCTTTAGGAGCCGGGGCTACTGCGAGTAGACGGGAGGGAGAGCGGGCCGCGCCATTTACTCCGCCTTGGCAACACTTCGGCTATTGTTTTAGAGAGGAGAGAGAGAAATTGGGTGTAAGTTTATAAACGAAGTCAAGTTCTGAATCCTTTTGTTTTTGCTAACTACCTAATCCGTATACGCGGTAGGTACCCTAACTGACGTTATATCTTGCCCCGTAGCAGAAATCATTGGAATGATATGGCATTTGATGAATGGGAAAAAAAGGTTGCGTCCCCTAATTTTCATCGCGGATAGCCCCCGTAATAAGGAAAGCGTGACACTGGTTCATTCTTAGCATATTTAAAGAGGTCTCAGACTGCATATTAGAGCTTGAGAGAAGTGAGAAATCGAAAGGTCGAAAGGATCAAGGACTCGGATAGGATGTCATCAACGGTAATCGACCGGGGCCCTGGAGAGTTAATTTCGCCGAAAAAAAACTAGTGTATCTCTGATAAATAGATTATGGGGGAGTGAAACGTCAGCTTTCGATTTCATAGAGCAAACAGATCGCGTTAGGCATATGGATAGGACAAGAGAGCGTCTGAACACACCAATTTAAAATATATCCCATTTCCTCCACAAGTCCCACTGGCCTTCAGTCACTCGCCTCTCATGACATTTAATGCAGCGTGAACAAATGAGCTGTGAGTCAACCCATCTTGGACCCAAAGGGGGAAAATAGAATCGAATGCCTCGCATTCGCAAATTGCGATGAGAAAAGGAGAAGAGAAAATGAATGCGTTACAATTTCTGCTCCATCCGAAGGCGCAATTACGTGAGAAGGTCGGCAACTATTGAAGCATGTTAGTCACAGGGGGGGGAAATGCAACATCGGCGCGCAAAAAGAGGCAAAAAGACGTACCATTCATTGGCATCTCATCGATCTGGGTAGAGTAGTACAATTCGATATCTCTTAGGATTCTGACGTCCTCACTGGTGACGAAGTTGATAGCAACACCCTTCCGTCCGAAGCGGCCACTTCGACCAATTCTGTGGATGTAGTTCTCACGATTGCTAGGGAGGTCATAATTGATGACTAGAGACACCTGCTGCACATCGATACCACGAGCCCAGACGTCCGTGGAGATAAGAACACGGGAGTTTCCTTGTCGGAAGTCCTGCATAATACTATCACGTTCCTTTTGGGGCATTTCGCCATGCATACTGGAGACGGTAAAGTTGGCTTCACGCATTTTATCCGTAAGCCAGTCTACCTTGCGTCGCGTGTTGCAGAAAATAACGGCCTGGGTGATCGTAAGGGTATCGTAGAGGTCGCAAAGGGTATCAAATTTCCATTCTTCTTTCTCCACCGCAATGAAGTATTGTTTGAGTCCTTCTAGTGTCAACTCGTCACGCTTTACCAGAATACGCACTGGGTCAGTCATGAATTTGGTGGTCATGTCAAGAACGTCGTAGGGGAGGGTTGCGGAAACGACCACAACTTGCGTGGCAGGAGGAAGGTAACGGTAAACATCATAGATCTGTTCACGGAATCCGCGGTTGAGGAGTTCGTCGGCTTCGTCAAGTACTAGCATTTTGATATGACGTGTGCGGAGGTGGCGACGGCGGATCATATCAGCAACACGGCCGGGGGTACCCGAAACCACATGCTGACCATGATCCAGCTTCCGTATATCCTCACCAACGTTGGTGCCACCGATACACGCGTGGCATTGTACATTCATGTAGTCACCCAGGGCCATAACCACGGACTGAATTTGGGTTGCAAGCTCTCGCGTTGGCGATAAGACAAGAGCTATATACATATACAAACCTATTAAAAAAGGGCTAAACAGCGAGGAAGAAATGAACTAACCTTGAGTTTCCCTCAGAACTGTATCGATAACTTGTAGAATGCTGATTGAGAATGTCGCAGTTTTACCGGTGCCTGACTGTGCCTGCGCGATGGTATCGCGGCCCTTGCAGATTTGGACGATTGCGCGAGACTGTACGGCTGATGGCGATTCGTATCCGTATGCATAGATACCCCGCAAGAGGTTTTCCTTCAAGTGCATGTCCTCAAAGGTTGGCGCGACAGTCACCTCTTTTGAGGTCGTGAACTCCATCCTCTCTGTCGCAGCTGTTAGCGCGGAGCTGAAAAAGAAACATGGGTGGAAATACGTACCCTCCGCCGTTCTATCAATTCCGTCCGCCATAATGAGTAATTAAGTATTTGGGCTAGATCGGCGAGTTGGAATAATATACACAAATGGTCAATGATTTTCCGTTTGATGCCGTTTGGATTGGTGTGCAAAACTTGCAGGGCCGAATAGAGTTGTGTGTTTGCTTTGTTTGATGGATCACGTGATCAACAGCTGCTTTTTGCCATCCTTGACGTCGAAGCATACATATACAATCGCAATTACCCGTTTGCGCGGGAACGTATACATTTTTAGAGACCAACACGGGAAGTAAAGATACAGCCGAACCATCGCAAGAATGTTGATAGAAGATCAGCGATTTATTCACGAAGATCTAGAGAGACTTGAGCAGGGGATTAGTGATCGGGTAGCAGATGAGCCGCGTAATGTATGCATGCCCTCTGCCCTCCGTTCCTCATTTCGCGCAGCTATTTTAACTAACTCACTGCAGATTAGAGACCGGTTAAACCGAGACCATCAGATTGCAGGCTTTCTTAATCGTATCCAGCAACAATCGGAAAGGCTCCTGGATATTTACAGAGATGCGGAAGGTCTGAGAGCAAAGGAGGTACAGGCCATCTCAACCGGTGAACCCTTCGATGAATTCTACAAACGCTTAGACGAAATAAAAGATTTTCACCGTCGATACCCTAATGAGCATGTCGAGAATCTCGAGCGAGCGTACAAGAGGAGGCACCCCGGTGAGAGTGAAGGATTTGGAATGGAAGTGGAAAATATGTTTACCGGAGAAGAATCGTATGGCCAGTTTTTCGACCTCACTAAACTCCATGAGGACTACCTAAATCTGCCGGGTGTGAAACGGCTCACATACCTACAGTACCTTGATCTATTCGACGCGTTCACACAACCCCAGCTACCCATCAAGCGAAACGGTAAGCTCACGGACAAGTATTTCCAATACGTCGGTGATCTTGCTGCGTACTTAGAGAGCTTTATAAAACGAGTTAAGCCTTTGGAACATCTTGATAAGCTTTTTAATGGTTATGACGAAGAGTTTGAAAGGTTATGGAAAGAAGGCAAGGTTCCTGGGTGGGAGGACGAAGCGACCACAACGGAAAGCTCCTCCGTCCCTAAAACTGAAGGAACAGGCGAAGGGATTTGGTGTGCAGATTGCGAGAGAGAATTCAAGAACGAAAACGTATACAAAAATCATCTCACAGGGAAGAAACACATTCGCGCCGCAGAGACTCGTAAGTCTGCTGGGACTACCCCCAACGGCACCACACCGCGAACAGGCGGCGAGGCTGCAGTCCGTCGCTTGAAGGAGCGTGCGATCGCAGAAAGAGAACACCGTGTTCGGTCGTTGGCCACAACCTTGAAGGAAGAGAGGAAAGCCACGCGCGTCAATGTGGAGCGGAAGCAAGGAATGACGGAGAGAGAGCGACAAATGGAGCTCGATGCTCTGTTTGCGGAGACCGCAGAGCCGCCTGGAATCCGTCACGGAGATTCTGATTCCGACAGCGATAATGAGGAGAGGATATACAACCCACTTAAGCTGCCACTGGCTTGGGATGGAAAACCGATTCCCTACTGGCTCTACAAGCTGCACGGCTTGGGGGTGGAGCTGCCGTGTGAAATTTGCGGGAACTTCGTCTATATGGGACGACGCGCTTTCGACAAGCACTTTTCAGAGGCGAGGCATATTTACGGGTTAAGGTGTCTTGGGATCACACAACAAACTAGCTTGTTCCGAGAGATCACCAAAATCGAGGAAGCGCTGAGACTATGGGAGAAACTTGAACAGGATAGGAAGAAGGAGAAGGAGTCTCGAGAAAACGTGGTGCAGATGGAAGATGCTGAAGGCAATGTGATGCCGGAGCGAATTTATCTCGAGTACGTATACCGCCTGCTCTTCTCTGTGTACTTGACAATGTGCTAACGATGTATAAAAACAGTCTTCAGAAGCAAGGTATCTTGTAACGGAAGCTTTCCATCTATGTATTTTATTAAACAACTATTGGCGGTTAGAAATGCTGGGTCACCACGGAGTACAGTTAGGCGTTTAGAATGGATTTGCTGCTAAACCTATGGGCGCTGGCCACGTACGAATGCCGTTCCCACTTCATATCTGAAATGGCTGTTCCCTACAGCGAATTCTTGGGCTCTGGCGCTTTTTAGCGGCGAATAATTTGCTCTTGATTTACTCCGTAGTACTCTTAAACCATGGTAGGGTAGAGCTCTCTATCATGTGACTTGGGGAATCTTTCGTGTTCGCGCGCCCCTTTCTGTAGTAGCGGGACTTTGAGCCCTCGATAATATCACGCTTCATTTGTCCAGCCTAATATTTATATTGCCCTTGTAGCACATATATGTTCTCTCTGATTGTTCTCTCTGGTTCCTTTTAAACGGGATTGCTGATATCTTCCATGAGGTCTGATGCGGCCTCCACCTCAGCTTACTGCAACATGTGTGCTTTGTGGTAGTGTCCGGCTCGACTATCAAGATATGCGATAGCCATTTACTGTTGTGTTATGGGGTTTAAATTTTCCTACGTGTGCGACCTCTTTACGAGCCTCGAAACGAACCTCACTTTAAAGGCATCAACGGGGTCGAGGGTTAGAAATCCCGACGTTTCAACCATTATCAACTGGTTTAACCAGCACGGGAAACAAATCCATGGAGGAGAGACTGACCGCCTTGCTCTTCTGTCATGTTTGTTACCAGAAAGGCGGCCGGAGAGAGTATTTGGATTAAAGGAGCCATCCCTCGTTAAGGTCATTGGCAGGTGTCTTCTCCTTGGGACTTCGCGAAGGCTAGCACTGGATTCATACAAAATATGCGGGAACGGTGACCTAGGCCAGTGTGTCGAAAATGTGATGACGCAAGCGGAGAACAACAACCCCGAGGAATCTGGAGTAACTGTTGAAGAAGTCGATGCTGTCTTGAGTGATATTGCGTCGAGATGTCGGTTCTCTAGCCCAGACGTGAGGAGACAGCGAAGTGCTACCAGCGTGGATGAGGCACTTGGACCAATTTTACGACGCCTAACAAGCCGCGATGCGAAGTGGTTTACTAGGATCATTTTGAAAGATCTCAGCCCTTTAACCCTGCCGGCTCGTTTGGTCCTTCGGAGTTTTCATTTCCTCCTTCCCGATCTACTTCTATTACAGGATTCATTGAGAGCAGCCGTGGACTTGCTGAGCCGTGATCCGATCAAAAGATTTCCTTGGCGTCCAGATCCTACCTATGCTAAACTTCTGGCTTCTTTCGCGTCTTCTCATATATCTCTTACCATTGGAGTGAAAGTTGGAAGGGCAATGTTTTATAAAGCCAGGAGCATTAAACATTGCTGCAAGATGGTAGGGAAACGCACAATGAGCGTCGAACGGAAATATGATGGAGAGTACTGTCAGATACATATTGACCTTTCCAAAGACTCGGGCTGTATACGGATCTTTTCGAAAAGTGGGAAAGACTCAACTGCAGACAGAAGCGGTATTCATTCTACTGTGAATGAGTGCTTAAGAATTGGAAAGTCCGGCTGCAAAATATCTAAGAACTGCATTTTAGAAGGAGAACTTCTTGTCTGGAGTGACAGGGAATCAAAACTGTTGCCCTTTCATAAGCTTCGGAAGCATGTCAAGAGATCTGGTTCATTCATTGGTACTGAAAATGACTCGCCGTATGTATATGATCTTGGAAAGAATTTTATTTCGTGCCATAGCTAATAAAGGACTAGGGTACATTTCTATGAGCATCTATATATCATGCTTTTTGATGTATTATTGATGGACGATCAAGTTTGTTTACTAAAGTCATATAAGGAACGCAGGGAATTACTGAGGAAAATTTCTCACCCTATTGATGGGCGTGCTGGGATTGCGGAACAGGAGTATATCAACTTCTCGTTGTCAAACAGTCAGGAGATCTTGAGAAACTCTTTCGCCACAGCCATATCGCAACGTTGGGAAGGACTCGTTCTAAAATCAAGCGAAGAACCATACTTCAATATTGGGCAGCAAGAGGACTCTAGCTTAGGACATTGGATTAAAATGAAAAAGGACTATATTCCAGGGATAGGGGATACCGCAGATTTCGCCCTGATAGGAGCAAGATATGACGCTCGTGAAGCTGCTCATCTCCGGGCTATTAAAGGTGTTAAATGGACATCATTCTTCGTGGGATGCCGCGATGGCAGTTCAAAAAATCCCTACGATGCGCGGCCGATATTTCGCGTCGTGGACCTCCTCAATCGACACAATGTGAACACTGAATTTATACGAACGCTTAATCAATCCGGCCAGTTTTGCAGCTGTGATGTAGATGATGACGATGCTCCATTTACCATAAAAACAGATCAGGTGCAACTTCCCAAAGTACAAGTGCTTTTCAAGAACCCCTTTGTGGTTGAGATGGTCGGTAGTGGTTTTGAGAAGCCTGCAGGAGTGAACTATTTCACACTACGCTTTCCGCGTGTCCTTAAAATCCATATGGATCGGGATGTGGAGGATGCTACAACACTAAAAGAGCTGCAAGAGTTGGCTGAAGCAGCAAACTCAGTCCCGACAGATGAGTTGTCTCAGGAGGTCGCCTGGTTGGCGGACCGACTTGGTGAGGTAGATGGAAAGTCAGGCTATATTATTGATTCATCGGACCATTCGTCTCTGTCCCCGGCTTCGATTATCCCTCCCAATGATATGGACAATGAGCAGTCTGATACATCCTTGGGGCCTTTGGCTATGAATGAACTTGATGCTTCCCAAAAGGGTTCCAGAGCAGTGAGCAAGAAAAGGCCCAAAATCACGAAATCGCGATCACCGTGTATCGCAATACACTTAGATAATACCCAAACCTCAGCAGACACTCCCATGTCTCACTCCCAGGATAACTCAGCGAATCGGCACCTAGCAGACCTTACCAACTTATCCCAACCCACTCCAATGCCAACCTATATAAACACCGACGACCGTGAAGACGTAAACGACACCTCCATTCCTGAAAATGAAGTAGAATGTTCAACGACGTTTGGAGAGCGTGATGAAGACAAGTTGAATCATTTTTCTCAATTGAGACAACGGAACGGGTCCAGGCCAAATCCATCTCATGAACAACAAAGTTCCCCTGAACCGACCGTTAGTTTGGAAGTTAGCAACCTCGCAGTCGGGAGGTCTGATATATTTGACAGCAAACCTATCCCCTCTGTTCCTGAATGTCCATTATTTCTCTCCGAAACACCAATCCTGCTAGGAACTGGTGTATCTCATGATCAAGTCGACTCTATTCCGCTTGACACCAAACAGCTCTTGACACCCTCCACTGCAGACTTCCTGGAAAGAGTGCTTAATGCTAAATTCCCAGATACACCCATGCTCCATTCCAGTAGCCTGGGAAGGACACAAGCATTTCCCAAATGTAGTGGTATTGTCCTCGTCGAATCCAATACAGCCAACACGCCGCAAGCAGCATCTGACATTGCTCGAATTGGCAACGCACTTGCCACCACTCAGCGGGCTAGCGGCATGCCATCACAAAAGGGGAAAATAATTTTCCTCCGCTGCGAAGCAATTTTACAGCACGGCTTCTTTGAAAATAACCAAACAGGTCACCTCGAAAACATTCAAGAAAGGTGGGAGAGGCTGGGCAAGCGGTTGTTTGCGGGATGTTTGAAGTGGGGGTATGGTATTACCGCTTGCCCACGGAAGGGGAAACGGAAGCGGAGGAAATTCAGAAGTACTGATGCGGACTTCGGGGAGAAGGACGGAGCTGGAAGAGCCATGGCTAACGGTTCTCCGTCGCTACTAACTATGGACGTTGATGTTCAGCTCAGTTGGGATTGGAGAGAGATATTATCGTTGGTATAGTTCAAAAGGACGCTTGCTTTATTTAATGTTGTGTTCACCGTATAGCTTACCAGGGCATGGTATTCATTCACCTTTGATCGTTCCCCTGAGATGCCAGGGAGTGATACTGACGCTTATAATTTATCCGTCTATGGGCGATGTTTAATGAATAATTAATAATGAGCAGTGCAGTTTCACATTTATTTCGATCTTCGCATTAATTGGCATTGGGTCAAGATAGCGGCGCCTATAATTAATTAATAGTAATGGCAGTTAATAATACTATAAAAAAAAATAAAAAAAAATAACTCACGCCGCATTCGCGATTCGTTTGGAGTTTCCAGAACCCCTGGAATAAATAGCTTCGCACCATGGTATCTGCAAAAAAAAAAAAAAAAAAAAAAAAAAAAAAAAAAAACCACCATCCCCTCCTCCCTTTTTGGAAATAAACCTTGAGTAACACCTACAATAATAAGAAAAAAATAAAACGTCATGTTGTAAACCATGGGACTATACAAATACACGGGAGGGGTATGCATTATTAATTGTTTAAATCCCATCACCCTCCCTCCTCGCCCTAACATCCCTCATCAATGCCTTCGCTTCTTCAATCTCAATCCCATCCTGACAAAGCTCACCGGCCAATAAATCAGCCCGGTCCAAGTCGCCGTGCTTCAGCGCGTAGCGTGCCAACCATAAGCGCGCTTTACTTGTCGTAGCAGTGACACCCGTACCAGTTGGTTCATCATCCGCGTCATCACCAGAACGCTGCGTGAACGAAGAAACGCGACGTGCATCAGCTCTACTTCCACCACCGTCCCCATCGGTGTCATCGTCATTGTCGTCATCAGCAGCCTCGTCGTCCGGATCCACCTGTCCCGTTTCCTGCTGAAGGGTAAGTTCCATGTATGCGGCTGCCTCCTCTTCGTCACCAAGACGTTCGTAAAGTGTCGCAATTTGATGTAATGTATCCGGATCAAGGAAGCGTTTTGTACTTGATGCAGCACCCCCATGGGATGGATGCCGGGAGCTTGCTGAGCCCGCACTATTAAACGAGCCAACACCTCCAACACCGCCTGCTTCATAATATGATCCTGCAACCAGAGCACGTTTAAGGGCTCGAATACTCTGTTCGGTACGTCCCATTTTTGCATAACATGAGCCGACGGCCTGCCACATTTTGGGGTCGTAAGGGCGCAGAGCAGCAGCGCGATGGTAGTAGAATAAGGCGTAGAATGCCATATCGAGAACCTCGTACGCTTGTCCGAGGCCGTACCAGGCGCGATAGTCCTTTCGGTTAACGTCGACAGCGCGTCGATAAGATTCGATAGCGGCATGAGTGTTTTTCATTTCGATATATTCGTGTCCCATTAGGGTCCAGGCGGACAAGAAGTTGCGGTCTAGCGTTAGGGCGCGCCGGAAATACATAACCGCTTTTTCGTGTTCGGATTTGAGAGAGTAATAGTTGCCTACCACGCAGCAAGTTTCTGGGCGAAATTTATCCGTAGCAGTCGCTATTTGGGCTACGAAGGCAAGTTGAGGTCGCGCACCCATGACATAAAGGATGTTGGAGTAATGATCGAGGCTGTCAAGACGGTGAGGATTGGTGATTAAGAGTTGAGAGAAAAGGTCAGACGCTTCCTCGAAATCTGTCGGAACACGTTGAGTTAAAAAGGGATAATGAGACGGAAGAATGTCAGGGCTGGTACCTTTCGAGTGATAAAACAGCAGAGCTCTTTGGGTTTTAAGGAATGCGCTGTTGGGGAATATATTCTCGAGCTCCGTCAGCATGTGGTGTGTATCTTCCGTAGCCTGATAAAGCTCCTGGCTACAATAGAGGTGGAATATAAGGGTCATTATATTTTGAGGGAGCTGGTCAGCAATCCGTTTCAACTAGAGTTAAAACCATTGTTAGTTTCAGTCGATATGGTGATCAATGGAGAATAGGACACACTTACATCTTCGGTATTGGCAAGGAGGTCATTTAATTCTTGCCAGGCTCCCCAATGAAAGGGATATAAATGGACGCTCCTAATCAGCCACGTTTTGGCCTCTTCCTCGTTTTTCCCCTTCAGCAAGATAACTCCATATAAGTATTCCAGCCAGCCCTGTCCTTGTCCCTCCAAGCCCCTTGCCTTCCGATCTGAGAACCATGACTCGAGACGTTGCGCCAAGCCAGAAAGTTCTCTGTTTACGGTCATGCCTCCATCTGCTGGGCCCAAGACCATTTCCGTTTCTTCGTCCTTCCGTTTCTCTCCGGCTAGATACTTAGCGTACAGAGCCAAAAACAGTGACTTTTGGCTTAATCGTGGAAAGGGGTTCTGAGGCGTAGCATGGCTAGTTGATCCTCCAAAAGAAGCAGATTTTCCCTTTGATTTTTGGGGGGTAACTGGGGCTTTGGATTTTTTGTTTGCAGAGACGGGAGCAAGTGGGATGGCCGAGGTCGAAGGGGGTAAAAAAACTGCAGAACACCGGTCGTATTCCCGTGTGTCGAAGTACGATTTAGCAAGGATATATTTGCTAGCCTCCCGAGCTTCCAAGGCGGCTTCCTCGGGGTCTTGTGTTTGTAGAAATGGGTTGGGTGGTGAGAGAGGAGGTATCTCCATTGGAGAGTCGGGATCAGTATCTGCGCCGTCATCGATATCTTCGAAAGAAACTAAGGAGTCAAGCATCTCCGCAGCCCTAATTAAAGCGGTAAAAAAAGATCAGTATGAGCGACTATGGTGTTATTTAAGGTAGAGAATTCTAGCATACCATTTGGCGGACTGGTATAGACACCGCTCGGAGCATTTAATCGCGGCATCTTCAAGGCGGTACCGGAGCTCTCTCAAGCTATCAGAGTTGATATTGGCTACCATTGCTAAACCTTGCTACACCTAATCCTAGGTTTCATAGATGTTAACAGAAAACAGCTCCATAGGCATACGCCGCGGTTTAGAAAGCCCTGTATGCGGGGACTCCTCCATGCGCAGGACGCGCAGTTGGGAGCTCAGGGCTAGTTATGGGTTAGTTTTGAGCTGGAGAGGACCAGGACACCACTTATTATTATGGGATCATCGTCATGGAGTATACCACTTGCAAGCCACTGCTACAGATCAGCTGCCTGGCTGTTGAATATACTCCTTCAAGTTGAATATCGTTTGTTTACGGAGTACATCATTTGAAGATACCTGATATCACGTGCTGTTGAAGTGCAAACAGCGCAAACAGCCCGCGAAAGTCACCCCGCTGAACTGGTACATCACTTCTAGATCAAAGAAAGACTCCCCCCAACACCACCCATGAATACCTGCCATTGATCTCCAAATTAGACACCTCATTTTTTATTCTGAGTCGTGACCACTATATCTTCCTCGGGGAAACAATAATATCGAATTCCATGGCCGCTCGAACTGACCGTGCAGCCTTCGAGGCTGTCTTTCCCTCCCTAGTCAAGGACATCAGTGACCATGCGAACCAGTATGGACTTCCCTCTATTGCTCGGGAATGGTTTGAAAACGTTTGTATTTCGACCCTTTTTTTTTTTCTTTTTCTTATATGTTACTAGCTTTGAAATGCTCACTAACCATTCTACCCAACACTAAAAAAAAATAGTCTATGAATGCGAATACCCCTGGCGGGAAACTGAATCGCGGCCTCTCCGTTCCAGATACTGGCCTCGCTCTGCTCGAAAAACCCCTGAACGATGAACAATTCAAGCATCTCTGCACCCTTGGCTGGATGACAGAGTTTCTCCAGGCCTTCTTCCTCGTTTCCGACGATATGATGGACAGCTCTATCACCCGACGCGGTGAGCCATGCTGGTACCGCCGCCCAAACGTCGGCATGATCGCCATCAACGACGCTTTCATGCTCGAAGCCGCCATCTATGTCCTCCTCAAGAAGCACTTCCGCTCGCACCCCGCATACGTTGACTTCCTGGAACTATTCCACGAAGTCACCTTCCAAACCGAGCTGGGCCAGCTCTGCGACCTGCTCACCGCCCCTGAATACAATGTGGACCTCAACAACTTCAGTATGGATAAATTCAACTTTATCGTCATCTACAAGACCGCGTACTATAGCTTCTACCTGCCCGTTGTGCTTGCGCTACACTACCTCCAGCTCGCAACACCGTCCAATTTGCGCCAGGCGCACGATATCCTTATCCCGCTTGGCCAGTACTTCCAGGCCCAGGACGATTATCTGGACGTGTTCGGCAAACCGGAGCAGATCGGCAAGATTGGCACTGATATCCAGGATAACAAGTGCTCCTGGGTGGTCAACCAGGCCTTGAAGCGGTGCTCTGCGGAGCAGCGTAAAGTTCTCGACGAGTCGTATGGTCGAAAGGACGCGGCCATGGAGGCTAAGGTTAAAATTGTTTTCAACGAGCTTAACCTGCAGCAAGTCTATCGTGACTTCGAGGAGGAACAGGTTGGCAAGATCCGGGGCATGATCGCGAAGCTTGACGAATCAGAGGGTCTGAAGAAGGCTGTTTTCGAATCTTTCCTTGCCAAAATCTATAAGCGTGACAAATAGATTTGTTTTTCTTTTAGTTAGACAGGGGCCATTGCTTTGTCCTTCTGTTGACAATTCCCAGCCCGCATTTTGACTTCCGATTATTGTGTTGGCATTGTTCACACGCTCAATCAGAGCGAAAAGCTTAGAACAAAGATTCCAATGTTATGCCGCCCTAGCGCCAACTCTTTTCTTGATCCTCGGTTGTTCAGATATCCACCATCTATGACTTTCATTAGCATGTGACTTCCACCAGGATACGATGAGAATTGCAACGATACCTTTGCTATAACCCTTTGCTCGGGCAGTAGCAGTTAAGCTAATAACGCGCAATCTCCGCCCATCGCCCTGCAGAAAATAAAATAAAAATCCCCCGCACTCCCCTCTCACAAACGCCACATGATTCTGACTCGAGATCAGCTCCTTGTTCCTGAAACAAAAAACTTGACAAACCAATGAACTCGCCTGAAACAAATACCTCACTAATGCGGACAGGATTGCGCACCCAGCCAGAACTCGGGCCTACGTTGTGCAAGTGTAACTCAGCGAAATACGAGGTGGTTTCGAGAAAACCGCCGTTGAGCCGTAGCACAGCCGCTTTTTGACAGGTGGGAACGGAGTATACGAAGTGGAATCCAATCAGATGCCCCGGATACGGGACATCATTTTTGGAAGGCCGTTTGTTCTTGCTTTTCCTAAAATATAAAGGTGCGCTAACTCAATATTCGTACCAACCTCCCCCGTTCTTGATCTGCGGATCGATGCAAGGGATCGATTCTCAACGAGAAGTGGAACGTTTGTGACACATGAGGTGATGAAATCTTCAGTCATCGGTGTAACTAACCGCTTCTAGGCAGATGATAAATGCAACGTCTATATCTTCCCCCCTGGATAGAAAATGGGCGGGCAAAGGCCGAAATTGGATTTGAAATTATATGTTTGCGAAAACCCTCAGACTAAGCAGTACATAATAGAGCTTTAAGGTATATTTGTGTGCAAGAAGGAGTATCTATGGAGATACGCTGACTGCCTGCTTGGTACGGATGTAAGTGCTATACGGATGCGCCCAAAGGCTGGCTCAATCGATATCAAAGCAAGCTGCAGCTCGAAGAGCAAATGGGAGCCCTGCTACTTAGGTACTCAATACTTGGGACACAAACCTGCCAATAGCGGGTAGTTCGAGTGAGTTTCTAGCCATTTGTGCTAGTTGCAGAGCTGTGGCCTCATTATCAGTGAGGGCGGTGCCGGGAACATGTGAAATATTGGCACGCATTGGCTATTTCAGAAGTGAACTGGACTGGAGGTCAGATATCTCAAGGAAAAGAGAATGAAGGTATGTATGCCCATCGGGTCAATTCATTGTCGATGAGGTACCATCATCATGGGCCATAACCCATTTTCAGTTAGTACACAAGTCGTGCGAACAACATGCTTGCTGGACCACGGGCATCGTAGGAGTGAGTGGAAAGAACCTGCTGAGGAAACCATCTGGCTGCCTGTTTGGATATGTATCTTGTAGCTCTCTTCATGGAGCGAAAGATTGTTAGCGGCAGCATTGTATTCCGTCCGCGATGTTTGGGGGAGATGACTTTTTGGCTGAGCCAGAGGAGTGGGTGGAGCATGTTCCATCGAACCGTTGTTTTCCTTTTTTCCCGCCTCAGAAATGGTAGCGTTGCATGAGATTATGCCCTCTATCTAGGGTGAAAAGAGTAGTATTAGCTAAATAACGTGCCTGAGTGGTGTATCAGAGCGCTTCTTTCTGCTCTTAGAATCCAGAATCACAATCTTCTGATTCCTCTCGAAAATGCCGGGAAAGTAAGCATAAATTATGAAACCGCCCTAAACCAATTAACTAAGCTTTAGCGTGCCTGAGCCCTGTCTGCTTTTCGCAATCTGCAGGCCAAACACGAGAGGGGAACTTGAGGACTTGTTCCAATCATAACACCATATTTCGCTGGCTTGCTGCGGAGGGAGAATCAAGAATCACGAACTCCTCCCGCACTCCCCCTCACTAAACTAGGATGTTCCATCCATTCCATGCTGCGCAACTGGCAACTGCGGACGAATCGTCAAGAGACAACACGATCTGAAGATCCCACCGCAAAATGGCAGATTAAGTGGCATGACCCGCATGGGGCGTTTGCTGGGCCTGGTGTCCAAGCCAGTCACTGATCACTGATCAGCATGCCTGGTTTTTGCGAAACTCGTGAATCCCAGCTGATAGGAGGACGGAGGGTGCTGAAGACGAGGCACCAAGTGGCAGAGAGTTATTTAATAAGGGCCTGCTTCGCCTGGTCCTCACGAGAAAATATGTATCTTTTCGTGCCGTCTGCCAGGTATACATACCGATATAACTATCTATATTGACTTTTTGATACACGCGGATTCCCACTTTTCGCACATATTCCCCGATTTGTATAGAAGGGACATACCAACTATGAAGACCACATTCCTCCTCACCCTCTGCTCAATGGGCGCCTTCACACTCTCCGCCCCCACTGCGGCGGCTCCCGCGGGTGGTGATCTTTCAATCCTCACCGCGAGAGCAGAAACCCCCCGGCAAGCCACAGACCGACTCCTCTTCTCCTCAACTATGGCCCAATTCACAGCAGCACGCAACAAGAAGAGGCCCTCCTCGCTAAACTGGCGCTCAGACGGCTGCTCCAAGTCCCCAGATAAGCCGGGCTTCAACTTCCTCCCCAGCTGCTACAGGCACGATTTCGGCTATCGCAACTACAAGGCCCAAGGCCGCTTCTCGAAGGCCAACAAGAAGAAGATTGATAAGTTGTTCCGCAGTGATTTGTATAAAGAGTGTGCGAAGGAGAAGAACAAGGAGAAGGAGGAGAATTGCAAGGATATTGCTGATATTTATTATTGGGCTGTGTCGACTTTTGGGAAGAGGGATCTTGGAGAAAATTTTTCGCTTGCTGATTTTTAAATGAAGTTTCTGGCGGAGACGGAGACAAGTCGATGAAATCGGGTTGCTTCATAGTTTGAATAAGTCCCTTCTGCTGAACGATGTACTATACATTCATACACGTAGCTCACCAGGAATTTCTGTTTAATCTGTCTCTTCCTGTTTCGTCCCACGTAGTCTTCACCAGCGCCCCTCTCTTAATCCACGATTGAGTGCCCTATTTCAATATCCAGCTGTAAGTAATTGAATATATGATTTAGCGCATGGTGACGAAACTGAGATTCTATACCACTATCGGTATTATGCAAGGTGAAATAAGAAGAAAAAACTAAGACACAGATCATCAGCGATGTAGACAGGCAAGAAAAAATCAGGTTGTTTGGCGGACATGCGATGCGGATATGGTAAAAATGTCTTCGCTTCTAGACGAATTGGAGCCAGAAATAAAAGCTAAAAGAAGCTGACAAAAAGGCAAGAACAACAAGGAAGGGGGAAATAGTAGGATTGCAACTGACATCGCAAATATACACATGCATTCGTATATATAGTAACGAACACACATAACTAAATAGATATAATATAGGATAGCATATACACAAGTACAAAAATTGAAGGAAAGAGGCAAGAAACGGAAGGTGAACGAGAAGCATATGATATCAACGACTCCTTTCACGAGAGATACATCCAAAATCAAGTTTCAAAAAATGAAAATGAAAAACTAAAACAAACAACAACAACAACAACAACAAAAAAGAAAAAGAACAGAGTGAGGTTAAATAAAGATATATCTGAGTTAAATCAGTCTTCATCGTCACAGTCATTCGTCTTGTCGTAATCTTTAAACGTCGCCGTTAGTAGCTACCTCCCTGTCCGGCGAGTGTGGTTGCTCGACAGGTGCGCCCTTCTTCCGCAAGGCAAGTGGGAATGGGTAATCTTCTGCGTCTTCTTCCTCACTGGATATTCGTAAAAAGCCGTGGTTAGTTTTGTATTTAACCAAAGAATGCAGCGGAGAACATCAAGGGTTCAATTTCCAAATCGAAGTTCCGAACATGGTCTTCAAGAACAAAAAGAGAAAAAACACTCACGGTAACTTCCAGGCGATATAGTCCTCGGTACTGAGGCCTTCACGGCCCTCCTGCAGGGAAGCAAAGTCGCCAGGCGTCATCATCCCCGTCCGGCTTCTTGGGGAACCGGGTACTGAAAACGGGCGGGAAATCTTCTGTTCAGTGCCTCCAATTATATCACTGAAATCTTCTGAGGGATCAAAAGAAGTTGGATATGCTACAAATAGTGGAAGATTAGTTAGCTTTAACCGCTAGGATGTAAATTGAGTTTTGGATAAAGGTTGCCACTGTGTATCCTGAGTGTGAACCCTGTATGAGGAAACGTACCTCTTCGAAGCGCCAGCTGTCGAGCCTTAACATACTCCATACCCATACGCTTCCAGTCCAGAAGATCACTTAGTCGCTCCGTCCTGTTCCGCTGGTTGATGCGTTGTCTACGACTCTTGGACGCGAATTCAAACATATAGTTCGTAAGTTGATTGACAGAATCATCTACACCCTTCATGCGGCGGTCGACGATATAGATACCGTAATCCGAAGAGTTCTCTATTAATTCCTCCATGTAGCATCCGAATCCGGACAGGTTGGTGGTTATGCTGGGAATCCCCATAACTGTGCATTCTGCAGGTGTATAACCCCAAGGTTCATAGTATGACGGGAAAACGCCTAGATTCGTACCGCGGACAAAATCGTCATAGTCAAGAGGCAAGACCGGATTGGAAGAATTGAGGAATTCGGGGTGGAACACAACTTTGACACGGTCAGAAGAATGATTGAAGAGTTGAACGCGACGCAGCTGGTTTAGCACAGGGTCATCGGCATCGTTAACCATGTTATGCGTCACGATGGGGGGGAGTTGATGCCGCTTCATTGCGAACAATCGACGGCGCAAAAGCACTCGGTCCTGGTTGGTTATTAAATCTTTCTCATCGGGCATATTATCCCCTTCCTTCCAGCTGAGGCAGCGCTCGAATAGTCGCCTTCCAATCCCCTTCTCGACCATCTCTAATGTATCGCGAAGCGATTTCACAACCGCTTGTCCCTTCAGGGCCTCAACCGTGAGCGACGATGTCTGCGCAGGCATGATAATGAATGCTACCACCGTTACATTGGATCCTGCTGTTTTCAGTCGATGATTTAGCCTGGCAAGGGATTCGATAAACATATCTACCCCCTTGTTCCGATATTCATAACGGCCTGCGGTGAAGAAGTATAGTGTATTGTCAAGATCAAAATCGTTATGTCCGTAGAAATGGCCACGGACGAAGTCGTTAATCTTATCTTTGGAATTGGAATGAAGATTCTGGAACTCGTGGACCGCAGAAAACTTCTTCACGTTGAGCCCATTCGGCAAGACGCCATCCGGCTTGCGTTTCAGCAGATGCTCGCTCTCGAACGCTGTGATGTGCGACACCGTAGTAAAAACATCTGCCGAATGCGCCGCAGCACGCTCGATGCAGTATCGGTGGTATATACCTCTTTTGCCTGCTTCCGCATCAACGTCGAAGAATTGCAAATTGTTGTAAAAGTCGACAGATCCAGCGCATAAATATCTGCCTAGCAGGGTTGCATGGGTGGTGAAAATTGTTGTGACGTCCATATGTCGTTTCTTGGTCAAGGGGAGGGCAACGCCAGCTAGCCATTCGTGAAAATGCGCGACAACTGCCCTCCTTCTGTCTCTTGAAATATACTTGAGTCATAAGTTAGCAGCAACGTACATGTTTAAATACTATAGACAAAGGGGTTGTCGGCTCGTACTTCACCAAGGAACCAAGCGACCAAATAGCCAAACACGATAGCTTCGTTCGTTTCACTATCCTCTGCCGGAGAAGGGATGGCCGCCACATTCCAAAGATCACCCTTCCACTCGTCCAGATATTTGTATCCCGCACCCGTATCGATCAGAAGCACCCTTGGCGCACCCTCAATAAGCCACCGTCCATACATCATATCAATCCCCCGCTCCTTCATCGAGGTCATAGTTTCGATAAGATGGGGGTCGGAGGGCGTAAGTTCTTCGACTTCGACGACAGCCTATGAGATTGTCAATTCAGTCCACACAATGGGCAATATATAAACACGTAAAAAAACGGGGTCTGGAGTAAGGGGCAAGGGAATGTATGTATATATACCGATGCACGATTCAGAGGGCCGATGAGCGTGTATCTTTGGCCATACTCTGCTGTAGTAACCGGCGCCTTGGACTTGAGGACAGAGTATATTCCACCAACTAGTTATGCATAGGACGAATGGTCAGCCTGACATTCACTTGAAAGCACAGTTCCCGGTAAATAGAAGTTAAGGAATCACAAACCTCGATTGGCGACCTCAGTTGCAATTTCAAACAGCACATGATTCTTGATGTCCCGTTTGGGCATATCGGGACTATTGTGGTCGGACATGATTGTACATGTACATACCCGACGGTCCAGCCAAAAAAGATGAGGATAAAAGGGTGAAATGGAGTAATATAGGGTATAGGCACCAAATAAAGCACAAGACGTATGAAATGAACTTTGTATATATGCGCAACGAACGTTGGCTGCGGGGAATATGGAGCTGGAGTACACTCGAGGCGGGGTTCAGTTGCACTAAAGCTTGCCGTGCGATCGCGAGCAGTACAAAGCCAGTCAGTCACCTCAATCTTCGTGTGGTCACAGCATCATTGAGAACGGGATGGATGATCAAGAACAATAGCCAGCAGAAGAGGAACTGAAGAGCGAAGGTGACAGGTTGGGGGGAGGGAGGGGGAGGGGGAAGGGGAAGAGGAAGAAGACGGAGATGAAGCCGCGGAGGGGTGCTCAGTCCCAATGCAGCAAGGTTGACATCCTGGATAACTATTACTATGCCCTCATCGCTTGGCCCGCCACCGACAAGAAACAAGGCCAGGGTTCAACGAACTAGTTACTACGTTGTAGGAGCTCCAAGCCCTGAAAGTCTGTTGAAACTCTCTTACTAGCCTCTGCAACGGCAGCCTGTTGTTGTCTGGCGTTATGGTTGATGACAAGAAGCAACCTGGCCGTTATCCTGCCCTGCCTAGTTAACTACCATTAACCTACGGAGTAACTTACGGAGTAGTTAACAGCAATTAAACCTCTCATCTCTGGTCAGCGCGAACGAATCTCCCGTCTGGAAGCAGCACTCAACAAACTTTTGACAATGGGCTGGTTAGGCTATAGTTAGTTAACTAACTAGCTAGCTCTCTCAGCTCAGTTCACAAATCCTAGCTAGAATAGTTAGTTACTGGTCAACTTTACATACCCATATATATAGTAAGTTACGCAATCTAGGCGCACCCTTTGCCCACGCTAAAGCAGCAGACATTTTCCCACGATCAGGGATTTTCTCAAAATTCATGTGTTGAGTGGCGAAAATCAACAAAATCTCTTCTACCTTGCCAGTTGAGAATCGTAAAAGTACACTCAAGTGTGCCGCTAGACACTTGCTTTAGGTTGCATCCCGTCCTACACCGGGCTATCTTCCTAGGTACTCTTGGTGGCCAAAGAGCTGCAACCGAGAACAATTCGCTAAATATATACTGTATACTCTGTACTCGACTTAAAAAGCTATACTAGGCAGGGCCTCAAAACGATGAAGTTCGCTACATTTGCATCATCGTTCACCAAAATGAGCAGCGATCCGGGGTGGATGGACGAGAAATACGCACAATTAGTCTCCGCTAAAATGGAACAAACAGGTGTCTCTGCAAGATAATCATCATCGATCAGAATGATGATTCAAATTTCGCAACTGGCGGATAATTGTTTCAAAGTCATAAATTCAGTTCCCGACTTGAAATGTTGGATAGCGGGGCTAAAATAACTAGAACCAATCAGGGACCTTGGGAGCCATTAGTAGTATGGTCTATGTATCGCGATGATATCATCTATATCTTGCTGCTCCACCGTTTGACTATTTTTCCACAAAAAACCAAGTTTTTCCTCTCGTAGGTAATACGTTGTCGTCTAGATATAGGAGACAGATGAAAATAAATTTATATCAAAACTAATCCTTTTGAATTCATCAACACGATGTGTCACTTTTGTTGCAAAACCATCCTTGTATGTACATGTATATCGCTCTCAGCAGGACGATGCGGCAGGTTTCTCCCGTCAGCATAAGAGAGAGCGAGATAGGAAGAAATAGTAAACTCACATCAAGCCAACGGACTAGTACCTATTTTGAGGGAACTTACGGTGCTAATTTTGGTAAAAATGAAACGGTTCATCCTGATCGCAACTATATGGCTTCTCAGAATGCATATGGGGACGTTAAAAAGATACCACCAGCTAGATAGTAGTAAGAAAATACATTTGTTAACGCCCCAGCAAATCTAAAGAGTTTTGATGAGGTCAAAATAAATTGAACCGAATCCCTACCTTCTTCAGAATTAGTACTAATAAATCTCCACACGGCGCCAGAGAATATGCTCTGAATCGAACTAAATTAAGGTTTCGAGTGATAAAATATAAAATCACTCAACTTTCCGCATGGAGTTTGAGGAGCTTTAACGACGCACGGCGAGGCAGAAAATGGATTTCTTGGTGGTAGGACTTCAATGATGCATGTGCTATTATTAGGTAGTATCGGTATTCGAGGAATGCGGAGGCATCCAACCGCGAGTGATGATATAGGTATCTACATATTTTCTACCATTTTGGTCTTAATAATAACATTTTCTTTCAGTGATGAAACTTAGCACCACACTTACCCGCTTTCAATAAAGTAGTTAGAAAAGTCCCAAAAAGGACAAACTGATTCACAACTTATAGGTAAGTTACATTTCCACCCCGCTTTGGGTGTACCAAGGCGGCTAACTCAGGATTCGACTCCGGCGTGCGATTAACAACCAACTTAGAACCTCGACTATGGATCGCCAACAGCCGCTGTAACTAACTAACCCTTGTCAATCCCCACACTTGGCGCGGCCCGTTTCGGATAGGATCATCCCACAAGATGATCTTGTTTCGACGTCATTTCAATCACTGCGCTTCCTGTCTTCTATACACTTCCTTTCATCTGTATTCCCTCTATATTAGTTCGCTTGGCCAAACTCGGGGATAGACACTCTACTCCTGGGAGAGTTCGACGCCTGGAGCGCGGGGGCGTAGTCTTCTTATGGGTCTTCAGACACTGCCAACCCGGCTCCGTTTCATGGGCTTCACCGTCTATCGGAATGGCCGGCTTTCCAAATATAATAGTGATATGGAGATTGTGACGATGTTGTGATATCGTCCATACATATGTTCATTTTTTGAATTATTTCACGTCATATTTGCTTGCTCTGAGTCTCTTGTTACCCTGTTCCACCGGAGGAGATGGCTTTTCAAAGATCCATATATTGCTGCACTTGAGATAGCAGCCATATCCAATTTCTTTCATTGTGAATTAACGTAGTTTTTCCTTATCATATATACCCACATTTTCTTATATCTTGTCAAGCCTGCTGCCTGCGGTACAGGCTAGGGCTTTGAATTTCCAAAGCGTCTTCCAGATTTCGAGGTTTGCTCCGTTGCAAGGATAAGGGGGATTTCTATCACCTGTTGATAAAAGTTAGCACATTCATCCGTTTCGTGCGGTAGCTTTATCTTCACCACTTCGAATAACTCAGCATTTTGGCATGTCCCACGCGTTGCAGAAGTCCACGCTCCCCAGCAGGGAAGCATAAGGGGACAGAGCTTACTGGAGTCTTGCTATCCAGAGTCTCATTCCTGCACTTGAGTTGCTTCATATTGAGGTAACAGGTTCTCTTCTGCTCAGGTTAACGCGGTATAGAACACCGTCGATATTTTTGGAAGGAGCCTGAGCAGTGCTGCTTGGCACGTGACAAACACACGGAGACGTTTTCTGCTTGCCAACCCCCCGTCCTTCGAACAGCTCGATTAGGCCCTTTTCCTGTTTTTAATTATGATGAAGAGAATATAAATGCACAGGGGATATTCTCGCCGATTTTTGGTGTCTTTCGGAGCCTTGCTGCGTGAGTTATGGGGTGTTTTAGTTGCTTTTTGGTCCTTTCCTTATAAGCCAGTTTAAGGGTATAACGGGTATACTCCACAGCCTGGTTACCTGGCCTGGTATAATGGTTAACTCATGCACACGGTATAAGCCCGGCTTACAAGTACCTGGTACTTAGCAACGCATACGGCATCACACCACGACAGCGCCATTTAGATGTCTCAGAAAAGGTACCGCTGGTGGGTGAGAAACCAACCCTTCAGGGCAGAGTTTCATAGCAATGAGGCCGCAAGACCTCATTGTGAGCTTTTACCACCTCCAGAAAAGTTGAATTTATTCTCTCTCAACCTTTCTGATTAATTTGAATGTGGATTGAGCCTGTGATCTCAATAATTCAGGGTGGAAATCTACATGTACCTCTTGTATGGTCACCCCTTTGTACCTCGCGTACTTGTCTTCGAAATCCAGGCGCTGCGTTCGATTCCTATTCACTCCATTTTGTCTAGCAAACATGCTCATCACTCCACAATTGTTTGTAGGGGTTGTTCTTGTCATAATAATTGAGTAACGGTGAGATGATTCACCTAGATTTTTTTTCCCCTCTCGATTTCGAAAGATAGCCCCTGAATAAGCCGGAATATGTCATCTGCCACGTTTTCAACCTACGCAATTTGTCCCAAACCATATCTCCTATAGCATTTATTTCATTTTTATTCCATTCGAAAGCTGAATTCCAGAAGTATCCAGTTTTATGTTCTTTTACTCAATTTTCTCGTTGGTGGGAGCTTAAATCGCGCTTGTTGCTGTTGCAACCCCGACATGTGTTTATCGTGCTGTCGCTGAATGATCATCACCACCATGTTGAGCCGCGGTCGGCATCACTAACTATCGTTTTCAGCCACAGTCTCATTCCTTATCTCACATCGTCTAAAACAACATCGATTTCTCTCTCGCTCGAAGCGTTATTCCCCCCCTCTCCCTTCTTACCGCCATGGAGGAATTCAACTCCCAAGAACTACTTGTAGTAGAGCAGAGGTAGCCCTTGGGTCCCTCATCATCGTAGCTCAGTATAGTTTCTTTCCTCCCTACCTCGAAACGCATTCCTTGAGATACCTATAGCTAACGTCCACATCCAACGCAGGTTTTGTTTACTTTCGATCATTTTTACTATCTAGATCTACCCGATTTTGGTTCAGTTCGAACTTTAAGCGGAACCGTGCCACGGGTTCGTGATATGGTCGGAAGGCTAGGATACCTCGTTCCAACGGTCGCATACCAACTTTGTTTGCCAAACTAAACACTGCATTATCTACTTCTACAATGACGACAAAAGTAATTTTTTGAACTATAGGATAAACGCGAGAGGTCTCCATCTTGCTTAACACGATAGACTCGTCATAGTGAACCTTTTATTAGCGCTGGCTAGGAAGTAATAAAATTTGCGGCGTCTCAGGGCACTACACATACTACAACGATTTGACCTCCTTCACTCCACGCCTTGTTCTATATTTGCACCATGCTCATAGTATGATATTCGCACATCTATTGCCTCTATTTCGATATTTGTTCATACCAGCCATCCGCTAACGTTTAGAAAGTGAGACAGCTCTGTTTTGGGTCTCCCCCACTCTCCACCGTCTTACCGCACCATAAAAGCGAACATGAGGCGGTCTTTAAGATCTAAAGAAAGGGTCTGCCTGGCAGATCGGGTGAAAAATGGTAGACGCCTATTGTATCTACGCCGTAGAGCATCCGAACGTTCAAGCAGCCCTTCTCGCCGCACAGTCAATATAGAATATCTAGATTCCCCATACACGCCGGACGTCCGCATCCATATCGTCGAGATCGCTAACTCTTCTACTACAACCATACCTGATATCAAAAGAAATGAAAGCGTATTCGCAAAGCTCAAGCGACATATCTGCTCTCTATTCCGGCGGAAAGACACTGATACTCGCGACCAGCCGGGAGATGAAACCAAGCCAGTTCATCAACCATCTCGCAGCCACAACGATCCACAGCCCCCAGCGATGAACGAGAAGCCAAACCGACGATCGGGCTTCGCATTCCTGCGCAAGTTCTTCAGATCCCAGACGGAAGCCAGCCTCAAACAGCTCACCTCTTCTACATCCCTTAACTCTACCGAGCAGCAACTGTTATATCAAAATTCATATGCTATGACTCCGAGACCCAACATTGAAACAGCCGGATTCGGCCCCTTTGTCGCCCAGCACATTGCTCCCTCGACTATCTCTACAGCTGGCCTGGCCCTAACTGCCTCTACAGCTAACTTGGATCTGAATGACTGGGCGTCCTTGGCTGCTTTCCCTAAAAGCCGTCTCTCAGGCGCAAAGCAAACGGTTGCTTGTCAGATGTCGCCTTCCGCCATCCATACCAGAGCCTGGGATTCTGAGAATGCGGGTGGAATTGAAAAAGGTGAAATTTATGACCCACGTTGCAATGTAATTAAGTGGCTTGAAGAGTTACAGGAACCACCTTGTCTTCGTCGCGTTGCGGCAGTGCAGGATTTACGAGGGCTCCAGGCATCTCATTCTACCTAGGCCTAGGGGTAGATGGGGATAGATATGTCAAGTCATTCTCTAAGAAAATTTCGTGGTATGAACGGAGGGGAGGGTAGGGTTCGGGTTGACGGGATTTTAAGTCGCACCAAGTTCCTCGGCTTTTTTATTTTCTTGTTCTATAATAATGGTTACTAATTTAATAATGGCGTAACTTTGGCTGGGAAATTATGCTTTGTTGTTGAAATAAACTTAGTATGTTCTTTGCATACTGCTATTTTACATTCGTGTTGGTTATTTTCACTTATGGGCTTCCTGTATTGAGGAGATATATATATGTCTATATCCATTTCTATGACTTTGGTTCAGTCTGTTTTAAAGCACGCAATCCGAATAAAAGCAAGCAGCAGCATTAATTTTAGAGTAGACAGCTTTTACAGATATATTCTATTTAGGTGCAATAGCAAAAGACTTTTTATCGAAGGTATCTACAAATCCCAGCCAATACTAATCCGTAGTATCAGCGAAGATGATTGCGTCTAGATCCCAGACTGGGTCTTGGTGGCTCTTAGTAGTTGGCGGAACGCGCTTAGCTCTTGTCGATCTCCCGTCAGCCATAGCCAAGCCAGGTGGGGCGGGGGGTTCCGTTCCACAACATTCTCACAAATTATATCCCATTGTTACATATGTGTAGGAGCAAAAGATAGGAAATGTATGTAACTTGATGGTTCTCATTGTACTGATCATTCGTTGTTTTTGTTGTTTTCACCTGAGTGGTCTTTCCATTCCACATCGCATAAATAAAGGCGATTGAACTTTCCAAAAGTTAGAGTATTATCCATAGCTGCTCTCTCCCTGTCTTTCCCTCGCTAATCCGCATCTCTTTCCCCTTGTTTTGGGCGACATAAACGGAGCTTCCAGTTGTCCCATTATAACTCGTTTTCTTGAATACAGTGCGTCAGCGGTCCATTGCTCATTTTCCTATGGTGACGATATTCCATATTCCCATCATCGGCCGACCCCCGTTGAATTCCGCTAGAACTTGTGCACGATAACACACTCGTCTCATTTTAAACTTGCATGCCCCCTGCACTACTCTGAGCTGCAACTGCTCCTGTCCCCATACGTCGTTATTCGTCGTGTCGCATATGTAAACATATCCGTCCAAAGGTGAGATATTAGTACTGCCTTCTTGGTTTCCGCTATTTCTACCAAACCAAGATACAACAGTTCAAAGCGATATGAGGCCGGTGGAAAACAAAAAGCTCAAAGACTTCCGCTATTTCTGCCAAGCTGAGCGTCATGCTCCTCTCCCAGGCCAGTATGAAGAAAGACGATGGGGTTTGTTGTTACTCTACCTCATTAAATCAAAAAGGTCCCCTCCGCAATTTCTGCCAGGTGACCTCAGAGAAAGTGAGGGGAAATATACAGATGACCGGGAGACGATAATCGAGGATATGAAAGTATGAAACAAGAGCCAAAGGTAAAAGAGAAATATAGAAAAAGAAGAAGAAAAGAGATAGCTGCATGAGACAAAACATACAACCAAAGAAAATAATAAAATCGGGAAATGAGCGGGCGATGGCAAAGGAAATGTATGTGAGTCTGTGAAAACAAAGGCGGATATATGATAGGAAAGAAAAGAAAAATATACACAGGCACATATGGGAACAGGCTGACATTGGATCTGAAGGCTTCCGCAATTTCTACCAAGCCCCAGGGAAGTTGTACCCGCCTTACCTCCTTAAAAAGAATTATATTTGATTTTAGGGAGAAGCCCCGACGTTGTTAGTTGCCAAAGACGTGATTGGACTGAAAAGATTTCCGCAATTTCTACCAAATCTTCCCTTCATGGAGGAGTAAATCCCCAGTTTGACAATCTTCGCATAGTATTCTTGATATGTTTCATTTTGACGCTTCTATCGGTCATTTTCTACATAACCTTTCCTCACTGCGGAAACGATGTCGCCGAATTGGGGGGACAGGTACCTCGAGAGAACCTGGGACTGTGGTGCCCGATACAAGGGTTTATATCATGGATGAAAATTCATCAAATTATGGACAATCACGAAACGGCATATGGAAAGGGAATAATACCGGGTTATTTATCATATGAGAATCCTATTCTTGGTGCTAGAGCATGAGAATGGACCTTCCATGTGTCATTCATGTCCTAGATCGCATTTCTATAGTCTGAAAGGATGAGGAATAGGTATTACTAACCCATGTGGAATGGACTTGAAAAGGGTGCTCGTACTGGATATCTGGTACCCAGCTTTCATCCGTTGGGTATCACCATCGTGAAGTGGTATTAGAAATGACCTCGTACGCGTGGTAGGAGTAAGACGCTAGAACATATGCTACCATAGTAGAGAGGGATGGAGATGTATGTAAAGGGAGTACGGGCTTCCGGGTGGACATTTATATATACGAGGGAGTAGGCAAAATACCTTCGCCATACCACCCAGCTCAAAAATTGCCTTAGTTTGCCAACCGCCTGGGCAACTAGAACAATAAGCGCTCGTTTTCGATTTTCGAGAGAAGATGTTTCAAAGAGGAACTATGTTTTGTTCATTGTTCCCTTATTTTCATTCAAGCTGGTGGCCACGGTCTCCTGCAAAGAAAATATTTGAATCATGCATTGTTTAATTTGGCTTCGCACTCATGGAGTTCTGAGTGGAAAGTTATGGTATCAAGGGAAGCTTCAGGTTTGTTTAATTAATCATGCCAAAAAAATCATGCCAAAATGAAACAGAAACAAAATATATTGTGTAAGAAAGTAAAGCTTGTAAAATAAGATCTAATAAATGGACAGTCTCTCATAGCTTCATTATGATATGAATGGTTCTTTCATTTTCCTTGGAGCCTAAACCCCCTCATCTGCTAGTGTATCAATGAACATAGAAACTACAGTACTGGGGGCAATGATGTCCTTTCAAATAATGAAAATAACATGTCTTTAGCCACTGGAATACAACCAAAGAAATAAACCTGTCCCAGTAAATATTGCAACTAAACCTCTTTTGTAGTTACCTCCAAGCAAAGCAAGGGGGCAAAAGCGAAATTTCTCCTTCAGAATAACGAAAACACTCTATGACTTCTAAGCAACACTACCAGCTCGCTTTAAACTATCTTTCTACAAAAATGTCTCAGGCGCTTCATGGTTTCTGCTACGCATATGTGGCGGATCAGTCCTGGTCGGGTTTTGAAGCAGAAACAATATATGGGAAACAATATATGGGACAATGGTATCGGGAGATGATGGTCTACTTTCAACGCTTTACGGCGATTTATTAAAGGGATAATAAATGTGAGTATGACTCTAGATAGACAAAAGAAATATGTAACAAGAACGAAAAAACATAAGCTCTTGGTTCACAGGATTTGACATGTAAGCCACTCTGAGATTTCGCAATGATGCTGCATGTCTCACACTAGTGAGGGACTGGGACATCTGCGATTAAAAAGTTGGGCGTAGTAATATACATGTAGAAGGGTATAGGGTGTGAGCAGATCATGAAAGTTCAACAGAGAAGAAGAGCGGTAAATGACGAGATCTCGAAAAGAGGTAGGGTACTAGGATAGATTGACAACACATTTAGCAAACTGCAAAACACCTAGCTAGGGCGGGGCTCGTTTATTTAATCGGAATTAAGAATCATCGGGACTCCAACGCTCTCCTCAACCCCCAAAAAGGTACTCTAGAAATATAATATATCATGCGCTAACAGACGAAGGTAAGGGTTGATTCATATAAATAGAAGTAGAAATGAATTAGTCCCAAGCAAGGTCTTTATAATCTCTGGAAAAATGTGACGAGAATCTGAGGTTGTTGCTGTCACGCCCAACACCGCCTTGGCAGGAATGAAAGGTGATAAAAGCCAAAGAGAAATGTATAACGCGTTGAGAAACAGACAACGTTTTCGTTGCCCACCAATACCCCGATGTGCTCCGAAATTGCCGACCAAGTCCATCACGGCTCATCCGAATTTGAGTCTCCATTTTTCTCAGCTGGTGGGGGCGGTTGCTCTACTTCTTGAGCTGGAGGAGGTGATGGTGATGATTGGGGCTTGGGTGATGAAGCGACTGATTTCGCCCGTACAATCCCTACAAGGTGGTCGCCCAGATCGCCTGATCCATCTATTTTATCGATTTTCGCTTTGAAGTACTCGACGTCGGAGATCATTCTGTGTAATTGTGTGTTAGGTTGGGTGAACTAGATCTTATCAGGCAAAAATACAGGGAGGAAAATTGAAAAAATTCAATCAACTAACCGTTTCTTCCCACTCTCCGTCTTCAAAGTGGCTGCCTGGAACGCCTTTGTCCACTGCTCTCTATAGCTCGCGAAAACAGGATCCATGATCATCATCACCGTCATTTCTGGTAGATGCTTAGCCAGGACTCGGTGGAGTGTACCGGTCTCCTCTGTCAAGGTCTCCATGTACGGATTGACGGCAGGAGAGTCCTGCGGTTGATCCCAGTCTATCTTTTTCATAGAATTGACACGGATAGCGGCGCGGGAACTCATGATATCGACCAACTTCTCATGGATACCGGACTGATGTTCTTGGTACAGTCGCTTGACCTTATCAAACTCGGCCATCAGTGTCGGGGAAGTATGGTGGCGGCGAACGAATTCACGGATGTAAGGGATAAGTGCAGTGACAAAGCTCAGCGCCTGCGAAGCAAGAGCAAGATGTTTTGTTGTGATGTTTTTCAAACCAACGCTTCTCATGGCACCAGCGCCGAGGATTAGTTGGGAGGAGCGTGAGTTAAATAGTTTGAGGCAGTCCAGGAAATTAAGGGCTATATCCTGCACCATGCTTGGAATGCCCGTCATCAGGTGTTGAAATTCGTCAATGATGTTTAAAATGACAAGAGCAGACTGAGGCAGAATATATTTCTGCTCATCCACTATTGCGCCTCGGACTTTATCTTTCCCTGTGCTAGATACGCCGTTGCCATTTACTTCGGTGTTAGCCTGCGCTGTCGTCGATTCCTGGCTGCCATCTTCGGACTCCCATATCCTCGAAGTTGAAATC